TTTATTGATCTATATGCTTGTTCTTGTGCCAGTACCAGGCTGTTTTGATTACAGTGACTTTGTAGTATAACTTGATATCTGGTATTGTGATCCCTCCAACTTTGTTCTTCTTTCTCAAGATGCCTATGGCTATTTGGGTCCTTTTTTTGGTTCCATATAAATTTTTGGAGTATTTGTTCTAGATCAGTGAAATGTGCCATTGGTATTTTAATAGGGATTACATGGAATTTATAGATTGCTTTGGGTAGTATGGACATTTTAATTATGCTAATTCTACCAATCCATGAATATGGTATATTCTTCCACTTGTTTATATCCTCCTCTGTTTTTTCAGTGTCCTTTAGTTTTCTGAGTATAGGTCTTTTAACTCTTTGGTTTAGTGTGTTATTTTTTTTGGCAATAGTAAATGTGACTTTTTTTTTTCTTCAGTTTCTTAGAGAATTCATTATTGGTGTATAAAAATGCCATTGATTTCTGGGTGTTTCGTATTCTATTACATTGCCAAATTCATTTATTAAATCTAGTAGTTGTGTGTGTGTGTGTGTGTGTGTGGAGTCTTTATGGTTTTCTATGTACAATATCACGTCATCTGTGAATAATGACAGTTTGACTTCCTCCTTTCCAATTTGGATGCCTTTTATGTTTTCTTCTTCTCTGATTGCTACGGCTAGGACTTCCAGTACTATGTTGAATAAGAGTGGTGAAAAGAGCTTAAAAAAATCTAAGGAAAATTTTTTCAAAGGTAATCCAACTACCTATGTAAGAATTTGAAAGAAACATGTCATACTTTATGTTTGATATGTTATTGTGTCACTTTCCACTACACAACCTTAGTCCATTTGGGTTACTATGACAAAAATACCACAGAGCGAGTGGCTCAAACAACAAAGATTTATTTCTTACTGTTCTTGAGGCCAGGAAGTTCAAGATCAAGATGTTGAAGATTTGGTGTCTGGTGAGAGCTGGCATCCATCCTGGTTTAAATAACTCCATCTTCTTGCTGTGTCCTTAAATGGGCCAGAGAGCTCCATGGAATCTTTTTCAAAAGAACATTACTCACATTCATTAGGGCTCTACCTTCATGACCTTATCACATACCAAAGGTCCCCCTCTAAATACAATCGTATTGGGGATTAGGATTTCAACATATGAATTTTGGGTGGACATAAACATTCAGTCTATTAGTGAGTGTAGTATAATAACAATGTCTCATTCTTGTGTCAGAGCACAAGACTTCCATTTTTAGCTTCAGATAAAAACATTTGTAGATCATACAGCTATTGTTATTTTTTTTGTAATCACGTTGCAAATCATTGATTCAAAATGAGTAAAATGGCCCAGCTGTTGTTACTCAGTGGTTGAGCAACAACCATTGACCTATGAACTGAGAGGTCATGATTTGATTCCCATTTGAGGTACATGACCCCAGTGGACATGTAGGAGGCAGCAGATCAATGCTTACCTTTCATCATTGTTGTTTTTATCTCTCACTCTGCCTTCCTGTCTGAAATAAATATATATTAAAAAATAAAATTAGTAAAATATTTACCATATTTTTCGGACCATAAGACGCACTTTTTCCCCCCCAGAAGTGGGGGGAAAACGTCCCTGTGTCTTATGGTCCAAATATAGCCTACACATATACTTAAAAAAAAAAAGTTTTTTTACTTGCCCGGCTCTGTGTGGTCTCTGTGTGCTTGCCCGGCTCTAAAATGGTTCTAAATGCTGCTGTTTACTTTACAGGGTTGATTACATGTGTTTATGACTGTGATGTTGGGTTTTAATGCACATAAAATATTTTAGGACACTATTTGTTTCAGAATCTTTTTTTCTTCATTTCCCTTCTCTAAAAACTGGTGCGTCTTATGGTCCGGAGCGTCTTACGGTCCGAAAAATACGGTAATAAAATAGGGAATAGTAAACTTGAATGAAACAGCAATTTCCAACCTCAAAGGATTCACAGAAAGTAAAATATAACAACTCACTCACCTCAATCATTATGAATGAGAAGTTAATACAGAGTAAGTAACATGATAAAGAATTATATATATGTAAATTTGGGGTTAAATTTATTTTCCAGGATCTGACGGGGTTTTAAAAATATTAATGTATCTTAATAATTACTACAAGGACAAAAGATAGGAAAGCTAAATTCTGCACATTAAAAATTTAATGATCACATAATACCCATATCCACTATCATCTGGTCCCCTCATACACAAATAGAATGTATTTAAATTTTCTTCAACTTCAAATTGCTTCTTTAGATGAAGACATTTTTACAAATATAATGCCAGGTCATAATTTTTATGTTTCAGTTTTAAAATAATTTTAAACACCACCACCATTAAAATTTATCTCTTATGTTAACTCATCAATTGTCTACTAAATAGTAGATCAATTTTCTAATAGAATTTATTTTGTAATCAAGCATTTTACTTTCTGCATAATAACTTGGTCCACTGGCCAAACCACTGAGGGAATGCCAGCAGTGAATTCCAATAGGAAACACCATTGACAATGAGGCTAGCTGCATGGCTGGGCAGAATTTTATCTTCTTTAGACACACTTGTCATTTTTCTCTGACTTCATGTGAAAAGTTTGATGGTTAGAATTAGGAATTTTCTTAAGGCTTTGGGACAACTTTGTGCAATCCACCAAATGCCTATGTGAAAGAAGTATGTAGCACTGTAAACATAAAAATCAATCATAATAAAACCAGAGGCACTGATCACGTCAGGGGTTTTCAATATGTATCAGCTTTATCTGACTCATAACAATTTTCAGGAAATATGATAGATGCTGTATAGCATTTACACTAAACCACAAGAAGTCCCTCAATTTTGACTTCTATCCTTTTAAGATTCACTGGGATTCCTATTCTATAATGAACCTTAAAACATGAGTCAATTAAAAGAAAATCCACTCCATTGGTAGTGAAAAATTATTTTGGGAGAAAATTCATATTGCTTTATCAATCTTCACTCATATTTTTAGCTTATTTAATATTAGTTCTTTAGTATTTTAGGAGAATTATCATTTTACCCTTAGAGTCGTCATTTTCCCTAATAGTGTAAATGCAATTGGTGCTGACTCTCATTCAATTGCTATTCAAAAATACCTCAATATTCTACTTAACACTTATATGTACTTCATTCAATATGTCAGTTCTAATGGTTCTTCAGAACCATAATCACCAAGGGAACAAGTCTGCTGCTGCTTTCCTTTTTTGTTTTGGTTTGTTGAACTATCCTTTATTTTATGAGCTGTAGCTTTAAGGCATCTGAGGAGGGGCCTAGGTGTTATGGGGAAGCACCTGACTTTTTCCTCTAACACCAGTTGGCAGAAACAATTCACACAAAAGAATGAGTGTCACATGGCATGTAATTAATGTAGTAGAGTCAGGAGCACCCCCAATATTTGTAATCCTCTCTTTTCTATGAATACATTTAGAGTTTTAATTTTAATTATCTTGACAGTAAAAAAGATAATTTATTTTTTAAATTTTTAGTTATTGAATTTAGAGAGAGAAAAAACATTGATCTGTTGTTTCACATATTTATGCATTCATTAGTTGATTCTTATATGTGCCCTGATTGGAAATCAAACCCACCACCTTGGCATATCAGGACAACTGTCTAACTAACTCATCTACCCAGCCAGGAAAAAAGAGACAATTTATCATAGTAGGATTAAATCATGCTTTCAGCTAGTTCAAGGACCAGTGTGATACTACTTTTAAGATTTTTTACTCAGAATTTAAAACTTATCAACAATTGAATATGCTGCTGCATGAGATAGTGTGGTCTCTATCAGAGGTCCCGATGATGTTTTTATTGATTCTGGGAGAGGGGAGAGGGGAGGGGGGGGGGGAGAGAGAGAGAGAGAGAGAGAGAGAGAGAGAGAGAGAGAGAGAGAGAGAGCGCGCGCGCGCGTGCGCGAGCCCGGGACCAAATCAGCAACCTTTTTGGTGTATGGAACAATGCTCCAACCAATTTAGCTATTGGCCAGGGATATCAGAGATTTTCAAGCAGAACTGAACTGCTACTACTTGTTAGGCACACTGTAGAAAAGGTATGTAAATCAGATAACATCCTACTTAATTTCCAACTCTGTGACTATGTCCTGTTAAAACCACTGATTTACATTAAGCTTTATCAAGCTCTAGCTCCTTTGAAAGGCCCATGGAGAACATGGCATTCCAAAATCTGCAAAAAATAACAATATCTGTTTGTTTTGTGTCTGAAAATATGCACCAGTCAAAATTACCTGGTTAGGATGAAACTTACCTATTTTCTCTTTCACAAGGACACAATCATTCATTTTGCCAGGAATGCCAGCATAATTCTCTTAAATTCTTTTTATCACTTGAATCTATGGATGGTTAGTTATACCATATGTGTGGTTTATTGTATCACTTGCTCAGCAACTTCTTTTGCATCTTTAGTCCACAGTAAAATACTTTCTACCCTTGTCATGTGATTTCCTTTCCCATTCGGTAGTCTCCTTTCTTATTTTGCTTGCATGTCTCATCTGAGCGGAATTCAGCTTTTGAAGCTTATCATCAAAGGAACCGACATTCTTAGTATGTTCTTAGATTTGTCCTGGATTGGGTGTTGTCTAGATGTTTTGTGGCAGACCTATTACTCATGCCTACTCTCGTGGAAAGTTCTAGATATGTGAGTTTACTGATCTTTCTGGATTCTCTTCAATAAGCTTGATGTTACATGTCAAAAATTACGTCTTGATACAGATAAAAGTAAATTGCTATGAAAGTAAATTGCTGAAGTTTGTCAGGATGAAGTTAATGTTTCTGAGTTTGGATAGTTGGTAATTTTACAGTACATAAAAATTATTTCATTCCCCCCCCCCCCCTTCCCAAGATAGGCTGCAGATGCAGAAGGTAGGGAAAATAACTGACTACAGATCTCATGCCATTGCAAAAAGTAAACCAGGCCACAATGACATGCCCTTTAGGTGAGACACAACACACAATCCTGACACTTGTGCAAACCTTTTATTAAAGCAACAATCAAAATACAGGATGAATCACATTTTTTTCCTACTATAACATCAACTTAAATATCAGTCATTTGTTTCCATATTTAAATTACTTTTAAAAAGGTTGAACATTTATAGTTCACAAAATCGCCAGTTTGACATTTTCCCCAGGTAAAATTTTTTACTTTCCAATTTTAATACAGGATATGCAGAAGTAGATATATAGCAAACCAAACAGAAATTCAAGCATCTTCTTGGACCCTAATTCACTGTAGGCAGCTCTATGGTGTCAGAGAGATACATTTGAAGGCTATTGTTACAGGTTAAATAAAAAACAATTCATGCCAAGATATTCTTAGAGCTAATTGTTTTATAGTTTTACATTCTCTAAAGCTTTAATTTTGATTGTGGAAGTCTAAGTATTAGCTTCCTTAAAATTTTATCTCTATAGAATCAATTATAAAGATCATTGCCAATCTCATATGATACTTTCTTATATAACTCTTAGTCCTTTGGAAAACATAAGCAATTCTATTTTACCTGATTCTGCCCCCCCCACACTGATATATTTCATCCAAACCAGATTAATCGTTGTAGAAGCCCCACGAAAGGCATTAGGAAAATGAATGTTGTCATCTACTGAAGAGCTTTTAAATGAATAGGTAAATATAAAAATGAATATTTTTATCTTAAAGATATCAGGTGTTCAAAATATGTGTGGGAATATACAATGAGATCTGGTAGGTATTTAAAGAGTACAATAAATTAGTTTAAAAATCTAGTAGAAACAGGAATAATAATCTTAAGGGATTGCTAAAAGGATATGGGAAGATAGGTACAGGTCAGTAGTTGAACTGTGCTGAATATAAAATAGAGCATCTGAAAGAAGAGTTAAACGCTCCATTTTCTTACCAAATGAAACACTGAGAGGAAGTCCTCCCTTTAACAGAACCATTTCAGAGTTTCAACACTGGCACAATATTTCCATTTGCAAATAAAAGATGCCAGATTTGCCATTGTAAAATGGTTCCTCCCATGGTTGGGATTGGTATTTCTATAGTGAACTTGATTTGTGTTGGCTGCATCACATTGAGAGTGTGCCTGTACAAAACATGCAAATATTCATTGTGCCTCACATTTTCTTTATGTTCTAAAGAAGTGAGCAGATCTTAGATCACTAATAAATAACAACCCAAGCATTAGACTTAAAACAGGTTATTAGCCCATTAAATAATCTACAGAGCCATAGTTAAATTCTGTCTTTCCATTAAGTTGTTTTCTTATCTCACACTTGCCCTTTAAAGGGAAGCTTAAACAGCATACACAATTAAAAATGCAGCAAACAACAAAAAAGAAAAAGAAAGAAAGGGGATTCCAGAATCCATAGTTTTGAAAAAGAGGAATGCTTATAAACATCTGAGAAGATCATTCTTGATGTAATGATGACACAATAATGCTTGGTATGGGTGAGAACATTCACAGATTTTTCAGAGTGATTTCTATAGATTAGGCATCACATTTAGTTCCTAGAGATTTCAGTCAGTCAAGTATTAGTATTTCTTTTTATTAAGTATGATATACAAAAAGATGAGAAGAGTAGATGTGCCCTAACGATATGAAAATATAATATATTAAACAAAACCACTATAAATTACATATTTTTCAGTATAAATGTTGTTTCATTTACAATAAATACCATCCAAGTTTGCAGACACCTACGTGAATGAACTATGCATACATATCTGAATTATTTTCAGAATTTCAAGAAAAAAATTGCTAGAATATAACCAGATGACTCATAAACCCAAAATTGTTTGATTTTGAGAATGACTACATATAACCCAAGGAACATGGCTTGGGATTTGGTGTTAAGCTTCTAAAACTGCCCAAATGAGTCTAACGTGTGTTGTGTGTGTGTGTATGTGTGTGTATCTATGATTCTTATTGATCTTTGAAAATCAGCTGAAAGTCACAAGGTCATCTACATTTCATATTCTAGCAGGAGAACCTTTCTCCCTTTGTAGGAAGCAATAGGATGGATAGGAAGAGTGTAGAATTTCTGGGAGGAGAAATCTCTGTTGTAAGCCAATTTCCCTTTAGATTGGCTATTATTATATCAAGAGCTTTTTGATGCTTTAAAGAAGGAGAACATTTTGATATAATCTCAGCCTAAAGAAGCTAAAAACAAAATGGAAACATTCTTTGGTCACATATTTCTGCTCTTACTTCATAAAAAATTTGCCCATTTTAAACGTTTTACCCTGAATCAATGTCTAGACAAACTACTAGATGCCTTCTCCTGTAATTTATGTGGAAATATGCACATGGGTTTGGGTGGAATGAAAACAAAATACATTGAGAAACAGTTATCACAATACCCCAAAGTGAGCTTAAGTCTCTATTGTTTTGGACATACAGGTCCCTGGTAAGAGTTTGTTGACCTCTAAACAAGTGAAAAATATTTACTATATTCTGAGAGTTGGAGATAAAACTTTTCTGCCCCCAAATACATAAAATCCCAGTCAGGGGAGCCCATCAGGAAGCATGGTTTCTCTTGTTGCTCACTACTAATTTCTTTATGTGACCACCCAAGTTGCCAAGAGTTCATTCTTGACCAAGAGATGTCTGATCAAACTCCACATCTAGTGAGTTTACCTTCGATATCAGGAGTAAAAAAAACAAAAAACCGTCAAAACCATTTATAAGGCCATACCCACTGCCCTCAGCCACAGAGCTAGAGACATTTGCTGTAAAGTTTGGACAGCAAAAACATCCAACCTCATGTACCCATTTTTGTTCCTAATATTGCATGTTTCATGCTATGGGGGCCACCATGAGAGATTACAAATTTTCCATAAAACTTTAAATGTCTGAGCTAGAACGGATTTGGTTATCAACGAGTACAACAATCCCTAAACTTTGCAAGTAAAAAAGATTAAACACCAGAATGGAGAAGGAAACTGTCCAAGGTCACTTATCTAGAGAGTGACAGATTAAGGACTAGACATCTTCATCTGCTCTCTCATCACCAATGTGGTCCATGTAACTAACTTCCAATGTCATGATCCTTATAACTGCTTTAAGGTTAGTGTCTCCCTCCTCCTAAGTGAAAATGAAATAATACCACTTGTTCTCATCATGATTAAATCTAAATTGTAGAAGTGGTCAAATGATAATTTGGAGGGGAAGGAAGGGAGAAGATCCACAATTTACTTAAAATGCTATGATTTTTTAAAATCATACTTACTCATTGGGTAAGTAATGCAGCATAAACAACATTAGAGATACAAATGAAAATCTTTAAAGTAACTGTGAAAAAGAACAAGGACAATCATATTGGTTTGGTTCTGTGCGAGAATGAGACTATTTAAATGGTGCTCAGATCTCACCAAGTCTTCTGCCTCTGACAGATAATGAGACTGAAACCCAGACTTGCCCAAAGCCAGGCAGCTGGTTATTGGCACTGTCAGGTAAGGTGTTGGCCTTTGGATGACTAGTTTTGTCTTTTGTCTATGACATCATTCTACCTTACATAAACTTTCTTGTGAGATTAAAAATTAATTTAATACTTTTGGCATGAAATTTGATGGTAGTTTCCTATACTTTTATTATAATAGTAGAGGCCCCATGCACAAAATTCATGCAAGGAGCTCAGCTATCGTGGCCCCGGCTTCATCTGGAAGGTCATTCAGATGGTCATTCTGCTCACGTCTAATTAGCATATTAGCTCTTTATTATCCTTCCCTCCAACTCCTTGGGTAGCCAATATTCTACAACCTACCGGGATTCAAATGCCTCTGACTTATGAAGCAATAAAATTTCCTGGTAAAGATCAGGGTTTTTTTGAGGATGATGTTACTTAAATGTAAAAACAGCAGTTTTCATGGTTATTATGGGTATACTCAACCTTTTATAATCTACCATCACCACCATACTTCAGTTGAACTCACACAAAGGTTCTCAGAATTGGACAGGTAAACATGTTTTCGTTTGGCTATTAAAGTGCTGTTCTTGGGCAAAGTTTTTCTCAGTTTTACTTACAGCAGCTTTTTTGGAAACCAGTAAAAATCAAGGTATGAAAATAGGCCTTGGGAATAACAAAAACAAGGAGTCTAGTGACTACTCTGGAACATTATAAATGACTTTTAGATATCAGCCCTGGTACTGGTGACTGATAACAAAGCCTCTGAGGTAAATGTTCTAGGGAAAATTAAGGACATAGAAGACTAAATCAGAAAGAGCAATTAGTATTAATATAATAACTACTCCATTTCAAGGAACAGCGAAAGGAACAAGGACTGAGAAGAAAGTGCAACAAACCCATATACGTGCATTTGCTATTGTAGCAGACCTATAATTTTTTTTAAAAAGAAAAGCAATGCAGTGTGCATTGGACAGGGCTCTTGAACTCAGAATTTATCTTACAGTAGTGTACTCTTTGCCAAAAGGGCATCACCAATGAAGGTATTTGGCAGAGAATTGTCTCTAAAACTTGTTTCACTTGGACAATAGCATCAATTCTGCACCCTGATGTTTCCTGCATCCTTTTCTCCTGGGGAAGGTCCAGTCACAAGGACTGCACACAGGTGTTTCCCCTTCTACAATAGCATCACTCCTACCAAAGGGATGAGAGTCTCCTGGTAAGGCTTAGCGGCAAGTGCGTACTACATCTGGACTACGAGGAGCAGCCCCTGATTTTCTTAATATGCATAGCTTTTCAGAGTTGATATTAGACATGGCTTTCATAAATAATGCAGGTGTTTCTTTCATGTGCCACTGCCAGCTCTGTAGTTTCCAGATGGGCTGGTGGCGGGACTTTATCTGATACCTCAACAGCCATGGGCTCAACAGGTGTGGGGTCTTCAGGCGTTAGCTCTGTGGATGTTACATCTGTAGAAGGCTCTACAGTTTCTGGGGATTGTTCAGGTGACAGTTCTGTGTCCTCTTCATCTTTGACATCTTCAAACTGTACACCCTCTTGGTCATCCACGTGATCTTTTTTGGACTGTGGATGCACGGACACCTTGATGGCAATCTGCTGTGGCTGTTCATGCAGCGATGAGGCGTCTGAGTCAGCGGTGGGGGAGTCACTTCGCTTCAGAGAGTTTCGGATCATGTACACCTCATCCCTGTCCATGGCCTCATGGCCTTCTGGCATGTGCTGCACAAAATTCTGCCCCTGCTCCTCCAGCCTGACCACCTCCATGATTTCCTCCATGATGGTTCTGCAGTTCATAATGAGAGGAGGCAGCGGCACGCTCCTGGCCAGCTCTTCAATGTAGCGGGCAAACTCCATGGTTTTGAACTGGGTGACTTTGGCAAGCTCTAGAGTTTTGGCTGAGGTGATGATGGGGATCCGCTTGGCGATCTCGAATGCCTTCTGCAGCTTCTCTGCGCCTTCTGTCCTAAAGAACTCGTTGATGGCCTTCTCCGTCTTCTTCAGGTGGCTGCTCATCATACACAGGCGGGTGATGTTGAGGACCATGACGATGGTGAAGGCCACGAGGCAGACCACCATGTAGTAGACACCCATGTCTCCCGAGGTGAAGATGACACGCAGGGTCACTGTGTTGTTCACAATGCCATAGGCATTGGAGGCAACACATGTGTATTTCCCTCGGTCTGAAAAAGACACCTTGGTGATGTTCAGGAGGCCGCCCTCGTGCATCTGCCATTTTCCTGTTGGGAGAGAACATTCAAAGAAAAATCATACGGTTTCTATTGAAGTGGCTACAGGCTTACTAGAAATATTTCTTATTGATGATAGCAACAGTGAACCTTTATTGTGTGCCTGACATTGACATGTATAAACTCACTTAATCTTCACAACTACTCTGTGGGATTACTAATACTAGCCTCACTTTATAGGATGACAAAACGGAGGCACATTAGATTGAACCATGTTCCCAAGATCGCCAGTTTGGAAGTAGTAGAGCTAGAAGATGAACTCAAGTTCAAGAGTCTGTACTCTTTAAACCACCAAAGCATACTGTATAATTCCACATCCTAGTGAAAAATAAGAAAAATAAACAATCTGGAAAATACTGTGCTCTTACTAGAGAATTCCTTCACTGTAGTATCTGATTTTCTAACCTGCCTGTGAGCATGGCTCTGTTGAACACTGTGGAGTTTAATGCTTCTCAGAATATCAAGTATTATAGTTTAGGACCAACATAAAATCTGGAGTAAATCAAATTAAGTTATAATTGTTTGCTGGTTGTTCATATTTGACATTGAGGTTGTCCTTGATTAAAACATGATTGTATCATTAATTTTGAGAATCTACAATAAATTATCTATACTACTTATTTTATTAGCTAACAATGTGAAGAATAAGAGGTTGGATATGAATTAATATCAATTTGTTTTAGTCTTGCAAATAAATGACAGACTCATCAAACTGAAAGTAAGCCTCACACAGTAGAGAATTCATGTTGATAACATAAATACTTCCCTCTGGCCTGGACAGGACTTAGTATTGCCTTGTGAATGAGGTTCTGAGTCAGGCAAAACTCTTTAGTTAGGGTTAATTCCTAGTCTGCCTGTATACCCATAGGTCAGATTATCCCTGGAGAAGGGAGAGTCCAGGTCAGGCCTTGGGGGAGGTCTAAGGAACAGAGCAGGCAGGTATTTCTTCATAAAAACACTCCAGTTCCCCATGCAGCTAGAGGACCTCTCCTGAGAGACTGGACTATTTAACATGTAGTTTTCTCTTAAATTCCTATTATTGCGTAGGCTTTTTACTTGTTTCATCCCTTCTGGCAGTGACTTTTAATTCTAATTAAGAGTCTGATATTTCCCAAAAGCAACAAGCTAAATGCTCCTTTTTAAAACTAGTGAGCACATATGTGGCCAAGGGATAAGGCAACAGAGGGCCTTCTATACTCCACCATCATTCTGCTACCACATGGTGATTGCAGTCCAAAGGAACATTCTGAAGGAAGCTGGCAGGAGCGGTGAGGTGCCTCCTGCAGGCCACAGTCCCTGACTTACTAGCCGTGGGGAGTCTGACAGGATGCCCTTAGTGGGTGCTGTCACATTAACTTTGCTTTCTGAAAGAACATCTGTGAAGAGTGGTCCCTGGTGTCCCTGCCTAACCCTTTTCTGACAATTTGGCCAGTATATTTTCTCAAGAGTAGAAAACACTGGTTTGGAAAATCTAGCGAAATGTTCAGTCTCTGTGAATGTGCAAGAATAAACAAACCAAGCACCCGGTCTGTGAAATTTTCTCTCATTCACACGAGGCGGGGGCAAGCTTCCACCCCTTTCATTCCCTGAACCTGAATTTTGATACTTTTACTGCAGATTTATCCAAATGTATAATGATAGGAGATAAGGGAAATTATAATTTCCTTAAAATTTGTTTGTTCCATAAGAGTAGACTACAACAGGTAGAAGAGACAAAAACAAAACAAACAAACAAAAAACAAAAAATAACCCCAAAAAACAAAAAAATAAAAAATAAACAAAAAACACAAACCTCTAGTTGATTGAAAGCTTATTATAGATATGGAAGGCACTGGGCTCCAAGAATTACAGGTGATACATTTACTTTCCTTTATTTGTAAGAAAATACTAAAGGAAGTAGGGTGGAAGAGCATGAGGAGGTGAGGTTATTTGTATGGGGAATTATTAGAATCGATCTATTCATCTCCTAACCTCCCCAGTGTCACTCCTTTTATGGAGGAATTAATCTGTAAATACAAAAACAGAGCAGTCTGAACTGAGTAGAAGAACAAAAGCAGAAAAGAACACTAAGCTAGAAAGGCAGACAGCAAATATATGCCTAAGCGACTGAATGACCCGCCGCTATGATGCGCACTGATCACCAGGGGGAAGACACTCACTGCAGGAGCTGCCCATGGTGGTCAGTGGGCTCCCATAACAGAAGTGCTGCTCAGCCAGAAGCTGGGCTCATAGCTGGTGAGCACAACTGCAGCGATGCAAGTCTCTCCTGCCTCCTCGGCAGCACTACCAAGCGGTGGCAGGAGGGGCAGCAAGGCTGGGATTAGCAGGAGCAGTGCTGGCTCAGGCTCTTCCCAAGCTGCCTGCTGCTTTGCATACTCCCAACGGGTCCTCTATTGTGAGAGAGTGCAGGCCAGACTGAGAGACCTCACCAGTGCACAAACCCATGCACTGGGCCTCTAGTGGTAATATAAATAGCCTTCTCCTGGCACCTACATAATAGTTTATATTGTATTTTGTTACAAACGAAATGCAACGATATATTTTATTTATAACATGCCAATGCTTTCCACTATTTCAAGATGTTTCTCAGAGTAAATTTCATAGTTACTTTCAGGCAAATTTGTAATAAAAACTGACATGTATTTATTCTGGACCCAAGCAATTCAATGCAGATTAGAATTTAGACATTGCAGAAGATTCTTTTCACATTGTGAAAAGAGGCACAATTTGGAACCAAACACAACGTTAGTAGGTGACATTTATGGCTCATTTTGGGAGAAAGCAGATTTCCAGCAGATATTTACTCAGGAGCATATTCTGCTTCTTAGTCCAGGGCAGTGGGTCTTTAGCATCTTTTACAGACTGTATTCAATCATTTAGTTTGTTCTTGAATTCTGAAACCCGGCTATGTATCTGTGAAGAGATTATATTGGCTTAACTATAAACTATGACAAAATGAATCTACCAGTATGTTATGATCATAAAACACTTGGTTTATTACCTATAATCTGAGCTGCAGCATCCTAGTTAAGAGACTGGGACCTCATCTCTCCCTGCCAGCAATTTCCTGTTTCCAATCTAGGCATCTCTTTAGTCTTTGATCCTTTACTAGATTCCTTTTGAAACAACCATCATATTTATTTTATGGATTAATGTGATATTAATTACATTTAGGCTTTAATGTGTGACTGGATTAAACATTCTATTATCAGATCACAAAGCAAGTCTTTGGAAGACAACACACACACACACCCTTATCTCTCTACAGACTATACTGTCAGAAGAGCTAAGATTTCGACCTCAAAGGTGATGTAGGTCTGTCAGACTTCTTTTATAAAGGCTGATACATTGATTCCTTCCTAGGAATTGGGACTCAAATTATGCCTCAGCCTCAGTTAATCTGTGACTAGTAATAAAGATTTCTGCTTGTTCTACTATCATATGAACCCCTAGAAATTATGATGATGGCACAAATTCGACCTTGGGGGTGCTCCGATATCAGCTTGGAGCCCAGGCTCATGCAGAATCTCTGCAGGGCACTTGCTCAGCTAGGATCAACCTGAGAACATTTTCTGTGCTGCATGGAGCCATTCACCTTTGTCTATACAGACTTTGTCCCAAGACTCATTCTGGAATGGTGCCAACTTCAGCTGTCAGAAAGTTAAAGAAATAAAAACACCCCCAGAACTATACACATGAATCGGGTATACACTGTGCTATCCCCCTGTGTTTTAAATTGTAATTGAGAGGCAATGTCCAAGAAATGTGCAGCATTTTCATTATGTTGCATCACACACACCTAAAATGTCAACAGCTAATGCTAAGTCAGTTCTACATGCATTGATTTCAGAGGAAATAAAACAGGCAGGTGTTGAACTATTATTTTCTGAATGCAAAAGATTACATGTATTCCCGAACCTTCTTGATGATAGTTCACGTCCCCCAATGCTTTGCTGAGACTGTAGTTCCTCCTTTGAAACACCCTTCCTCCATCCCCCCTCTTCACTCTGGTCCTCTGAGTGTCATCTGAAGGTCAGGCTAACGTACTGTCACACACAGCAGAAAGAGACTGGAAAAAAGGAGTCAGATAGACTAGAGTTTGCCCAGAACCTGTCACAGTCTTGCCCAAGAAACTCCAAGCACTAGATCACACGTGAAAATCATCCACACGTGAACAGAAGTGTTGTGGGGACAGTCTCTCCTTTGCAAAGAGAAAAGCTAGCAGATGTTATTTCTTAGCTGTGCTGTGGTGTGCGCTAAGCTGCACAACAAAGCTGACATTTTTAGAAGACAGTGATCTTTTTTCTTTTTTTAATCTTGTTCATGCATTCAGTAACGATTGTTGAATACATTGTTTATATACCAGCTTCCATCCCAGAATGTGCCAATGCAAAGATGATGCCTGACTACAAAAACAGTCCAAGCCAAAGAGGGACAGTTTCCAATAAATAACTGGGGTTTCCCTGGCATAGGACAGGGGCTGGGGAAGGGAACAGTGGGGACAGGCTTCCTAGAGAGGCTTGAGGGAAGCACATGAGCAAAAGAGGGAAGTCAGTGGGTACTCCTATAGCTGACAAAACATTTTTAAAATCCAGAAGGGCCAACCCAAAAGAAAAAAAAAGGAGAAAAGATATGAATGGATAAGTCACAGGGGAAAAAAGGAAATGCAAATGGTATCTAAGTGTAAAAAAACACCAATGATTTATAATTGAAATTTAAAGGGATAATGAAAAAAAATAACTTTTTCACTTTTCAGAATGCCAAATAAAGGGTGGGGGTGTGATATTGAGAATACATTATGTTTCCAAGAGAACAGAGAAAGGAACACTCCCCCACACTGCAGGTGTGAGTTGGATGGCTAAAAACCTTTGGAAGGTTGATTTGGAGAAATCCTCAAAATTTAAAATGAATGTAACCTACGAGCAACATTTAGACTTGAAATCCTTCAACTCAGGCAAGCCTAGCTTGACTGGGAAAATATTAATGAATGC